TATATTCTGGCCTCTTGTCCTCACATATGAGCTGCTTCTCTGTGTTCTGAGGGACTGTTTAGTCTACTAGGCACATTGCTGGCTTTTAAAAATAAATACCAGATTTTAAGAATGCAGCCCAGCATGGCCAGACCAGAGTCTTCTGATGGTCCATGGGACTGACAGGTTGCAGCAGAGATGACTGACAGGTTGCAGCAGAGATGACTGACAGGTTGCAGCAGAGATGACTGACAGGTTGCAAGCCATTCTGGAAGCCGGGGTTTCCCCAGTCATAGTTTATAAGAATCACTTCTGGTCCTCTCTGAAGTGCCAGGACATTTTATTAAAAATACCATTAATGATGAAAGCCCAGACTGCGTGTTAGATACACAGTAGGTATTTTGTGTTTGCTATCCTCAGAACACTGTTTTATTAGACATATTATACAGGTAAGACAACTGAGGCTCAGGAGGGAATTATATAAGTGGCTGTGCAATGGTGGTGTCATTCATACACACCAGATCTTAAACTCCATGGGATTTGTCCTTTCTAAGCCTCCAAATGGGAGAGTAGAATCCCAGCCCTCTCTCTCCACACCACCCTTGCTCTCTCCAAACATGTCTCCAGCCCTGGGTTCTTCCCAAGGCTCTCTCCAGCCTGCATGGAGCCATTCTACACGGTGACTCTCCTTTTCCATTTCACCCTTCGCTGGATCATTTTATGCCTCTATTCCCTCTGCTAATTCAATCTAATTAAAGTATAAAATAGAATAATTGCTTCCATTCCTACACTCTTTCCCCATGTACCCTGAGGACAGAGTGGTATTCCTTTTCTGGGAGTGGCCAGCCTGACAAGCTGGGTTGGAACAGGCTATGCTTCTTCTTTTCATCTTCTTACTTGCTGTTTTACTTGGCTCCCAGCCTAACATTCCCAGATTTGCTGACTGACTTCCATTAGACACCGAGGGTCTGGGAGCAAGTTGTATTCCTGTTCATGACATCTGCTAACTTACTGCTGCAGTTGGGGTAGCTTTCTAGGGAAAAGCTGGCCTTCTCTTGATGGGGCACCTGGGCAATTAACAGCAGGACTAGAATTCTGTTTCCAAGTTTCCCCCTGGGACTGGCCAAGCCGTTGATCCATTGAGAGTACATTAACATTGACTTGTTAGGCAGTGGCACTAATGACTCAACACTTCTTACTGGCTCTATTTCTTAATCACATTTAGTTAACTGACAGAGAGAGAGAGAGAGAGAGAGAGAGAGAGAGAGAGAGAGAGGAGACAGACAGACACAGAGAGAGACAGAGACAGAGAGAGACAAAGAGAGAGAGGAGGATAGGGAAAGAGGAGATGAAAGATGAAAAATACATGAATGCTAGATTAAATGGTTCTAGCTTTATATAGAACATAGAAATCATACATAGCTAAATGAAAAGAGAAACAACCAGCCAGAATTCACCAAATAATTGACAAAATGATATTTTTCATTCATGATATAGATGCATTATAAACTGAGTAAAAAATACCAAAGAAAAATTACCAGAGCCTCAAGATCCTTCCTAAGGACTTGACAGCACAACAGTTGTCCAAGACATAAGAAAAGAATAATATTGAAAAGTATAAAAAAAACACAGATTAAAGTATCAAAGAAGTCATTTCATTCTGTTGATTCAACAATAATGAAAATACATTTATTTCCAATCTTATTTTTAAAAGTTCCAAGCCAAAAACCTTGCTAAGTCTTACAAAGATTTGATAGATACTGGAATTAGACATCTCTGTCTTGGATGCTTGCCTTTCCAAGTCCCTGAGGAGTTAAGAGACCAGGCCCTGAGGAAACTTGGTCAGGACTAGAGGGTCCAGAACCTGGGCCTCTCAGCTCAGGTCAGCTATCTGGGTTACGTGCCATTTTCTTCATCCTAACAACCACATACCTTTACATCCCCAGTAATGGGATTATGGAAGTAAGGGCTGGAGGGGCCATATGGAGTCCTCATGGTAAGCATGTGGCATTTGATGCTGAATAAGGAAACTCTTCATTTGTTATCTCAACTGATCTCACACTTTACTGTGTGAGATACACTGAGATTAAGTGATTTGTCCAAGGCAACTCAGCTATAAAATTGTGAGATGGCATCCAGGACTTGTGGTTTCAGAGATATCTCATTATTTGCTTCACAACCTTTAATTGATAAAGAAGTAAACTAAGGTTGTGGGATAATGTGAAAAGTAATGGCAAACACCGGGAGAGAAGACAGGCTGCCTCACTTTGTTCTTCCTGATTGTTCTCCTAATACTCATTGAACTGTATCCTTTAAGAGGCCAGGCTGAGTGTCAATACTCTGCTCCATGGCTTCAGACAGATGGGCCTCATGAGCTTCTCTTGGCCCTCAGCCTTAGATTACCTCTGCTGAAGTCACCTTCTGCATGATTTACAGCTACCCAAGTGACAGGCTTCCTAGCTCTACCACGAATCCTTCTTAGACTCAGCCTCCTGATTGGCCCACTCCACTTGGTAGGGGGAACCTCCTAATATCTCTCTTGACCAGGTTCAGCCCCATGGCATTGAGTCCAAAGGCTTCCAATTTCAGCTCCCAGTGGCTGGCTGCTACTCAATGTCTGGTTCTCACTTTAGCAAGAACAGGGAATCTGATGCAAAAGACTGGAGAAAGGAAGGGGCATTTATAAATGAGATATTTGAGGATTTGATATGGCCAGGGCTGATGCTTTCAGATATAGACCAAGAGGTCATTATGTACCCTGAAGACTACTCAACCACTTCATTTCTGACCCAGCCTCTCAGCCACCTGTGTGGTATTAGAAACGTGACCCAGGATTTGGGCATGGCAGGCAAGCTCTGAACCCACTAAACTACATCCTCTTCTGCCTACATTTTAAGCATCTTGTCTGAGAAAAAGATATGCAACCCCCACTCCCCACAGCTTCCCAGTCACCATAAGCTCTCATTGGTCATTGCCATTTATTCTATTTATATATCAATTGGCTCAGGGAACCCAAGTGAAAGTTCTTGCCCAGAGTGATCTGCTTGGTCCTTAGGCATACAAAATATGTGAAAATACTACCAAAGTGTGGTATCTCTCTCCTGTGTGGCTACCTTTTTACCTGGCTCCATTGTTGCCACCTCTCTATCCTCCATCCTGTTATCTGTAGGTAGTTCTGCAGGAGCATCTTAGAGTTGGCCAAATGGCTACAAGGTGTTATATGTTGGGCAGGAGGATTTGATGACTTGTGACTGTTCTTAAAATGTAGTGCTTGGACTTCTTATTTAAAAATAACTCGCTGGGAGAACATCTCAATCAGTAAGTGCTTGCCATATGAACATGAGGGCCCAAGTGAACCTCCAGAACCCATGTAAACAAAAGAAAGGCACACATAAAATCCTAGTAGTGGGGAACCCTAGACAAGCTGAATCCTGGGGCTTACAAGCCAGTCAGCCTACTTCTAGGCTAGCAAAAGGCACTGTTTTAAGAAACAAAGTGGATGGTGCCTGAGGATTGACATCTGAGGTTGGTCTCTAGCCGCCACACACATAACACAAGCATGTACACAAGCATCCTCTCCAATAAATACAAAGATGTTTCTGCCTTAAAAGCAAAGAATATGATGAGATGCAGGGCACCCATAGAAATCTATTCAGTGGTACATATCTCTGGGGACATGTGTCTCTTTAGATTGTAATCAATTTAAGGGTAGCAACCAATCCTCATTTGTTCTGATGTTTTCCCAGTACTTTGTTCCCAATAATGATCTGTCTAGTAACCTTTTTCCAAGACCCATTGGCTATTTTATTGGGCTAATAGGCCAATGTTTATTTCTAGGACTACCTTACCACTCTGGGTTGGCAAATTTCCCTCAATTCTAGTAAGTTCTCGACTGGGTCTGTTTATTCCTCAATTGCAGGGGCCACATGAATAAAGGTAGAAAAGACAGGTGGGCTCAAGAGGATCTGGATGTAATTTGCATGCAATTAGCATATGATTTGTGTCATCTATTCTCAAGAAGTAATTTTCAAGTTAGAGCTGCATCACTGCTTTCCTTAATGCTACCATGCACCCATCCATCCCTTTTTTTTCATTCCTGCTCACCCCCTTGTTTGTCATCACTTGATCCAGATTTTTGATCATTGAAAAGAAAGCACACAGAACCCTGGGAAGGGTGAAGCTGACTAAGGACAGTGGCATCTTTCAGGAACATTTAAGAAAGACACAGGAGATACCTAGTGAAGGGATGGGTCTTCCACCTCAGTTATTTTCCCTGTCAGTCAGCAACCTCAGTTCTGGGACAACCATGGCTGCTGCAGATCCATGGTGATCTCTTGATCTCTTGGCTAAGCACTTCACCTAGTTTCCTTCCTTTGAGGGTCTGGCAAACCCCATCATCCCTGCTTCCTTCCTTTTCCAGAGTTCCCTCTGTTCACACACGTAGAAAAAAAACATGGTTCAGAGAATGATTCCTTCCCTGGGTCTAGGACTTGCTCAGTTGCTACTTAGCAAAGAATTGAGGCTTCTTTTGTGGGATTTCCAACCTTTGCAGGTAGTTTCATCTTTCCAGAACTGGCCAGCTGTGTCCTGCATCCACTCTCTGACTCAGGACAAAATTTGATTTCCTTCTAGGGTGACATCTCAGTCCTGTCTCCCAGGAGCCAGACCAGCCTGAAGGCCTAGATTATTTATACCTCTTTGGCTCCCATGAGCAGTCAACTCTGTGGGCCCAGGAACAGTAAATCTAACTCCTAATCACACCATGCTGTGAGGCTCAGTCTAGCTTTTTCTTGCAGGGCTTTTTAATCACTCACCCAGACAGGGGCTGTGGCCTAGAGAGAAGCCTCTGGAAGGGGCTGGCCCTGCAGTTTCCCTCTACCTCTCTACAGATGCCACAGGGCTCTGCCTTTCTCAGAATCCCTGCACAGCAAGCTCAGAGTCTCTGTTGTAGGACAGAACAACTTCTGACCTATCAGAGGTTTCCTAGAGTTTGGAAAGGAGAGATGTGTGTCAGCACTTACCTGTCTCTCAGACATGACATACAGGTAGAACTGATTGATAGAGAAGGCCATGTCCCGGAGGATGGGGCTCCCATCTTTGAACACAGAGACCATCTCATACTGGACCCCACCATGGGGAGGACCATCAGCTCGAATCTGCAAGAAAAACAAATTGCCCTTAGTATTGACACTCAGCCTTCCCAGGGACCATCTGTTTCTACTTGGAGGGACAACTTACAAAAGACAGTTGCTGCCCCTCCAGGTCTTTGCTTTGGAAAGAAGTGCTACTTATGTTAAACTCTCAATCCATTCCCAATCACTCTCAGCATGCAGGGCCTGAGATCTCCTGCTCCCTCTCCCCTTCTACTCTGTTTTCCTCTCTTCTTCTTTCTTTCCCCTCCCCATATCCCCTTTCTCCTTTCTCTCATTTATTTGGAACCAGTGTTACACTGTGTAACCCAGTGTGCACTCTAATCATCCACTTTTAACTTTTCCAATTCTTGGATTACAGGCATGTATCATGCATCACCATGTCCACTTTTGGTCTGGGATTCCTAATGGTGGTTGATATGTGTTTGAAAGATTCTGACTGTCCTTATGCAATTGTTCTTGTGTGCATTCACATACATTTACAGAATTTGTGATGTGTATATGCAAGGGAGTGTGTATATGCATTCTTACCATAGATTGGAGAGTCAACATCTATATACATTACCCTTGTGTTAGGCAGACCTGGGGGGGGGCAGACCTCAATAAAACCCTGTTGTCATCATTGGGGACTGAAAATTTCAGACCTCAGAAATCTTTCTGCCCCTAGATCTGTTCATTACATTTTTTTTTCTTTTTTGCCTCATCCCAGGGCAGTAAACAAAGAGGACCTGAATGTCATTTACCTATGGCTCTTCTGTCCAGGCTACATACTTGAGCTTATCTAGTGAGGTTTATTTTGTTTGTCTGTTTTTTATGTGAATTTTGGAACTAGACCCATGAATCAGAATCTTTAAGGGTATAGTCCAGGCAGTATCACCTGGGTTAAAATCTCCCTAGGCAAAGGCACAGCCAAGGTTGAGAAGCAGCAAGATAGCCTAATGCTGTCAATTCTGCCACACTCAGAATTGCTGTCAGGGGGTGGGAAGTGTGTGACTGAGCCAGACCATAGCCTCTGTTTTGATGGGAGATTCCCAGTGATGCTGAGGCTGTTTGTACAGAAGGTGGAGAAAGACTTATCTGGCTTAGCCCTAAAGTGCTCAAGGAAAGATTTCATGTAAGAAGTTGTTGGCAAGGAGGCCTTGGTGTGAATTGGCTCCACCCACAGTCCCATCCCATATCAGCAGCTTGCCATTCACTCCCTAGCCCTTCTCCCACTCCAAGTTCCCTGTCTCATTCTATCTACATACCTTCTGACTCAAGGCTTGCCTCTCCTGGGAAGGCTCCTGCCCTCTGATAATTAATTACATATACTGGTGCATTTTTTTCCCTATTAGACATGTATCCTAAGATTACAATCAATTGATTTGCTCACATGTATTGACTTACTATTTGAATTGTTCTTTAATTGCTTCCAATATGTGCAGAGTCATTAACATTGTGAAGGTGGGTGTGTATTTTTTTCCTTTCCCTGTATCCCTCTGAGGACCTGCGTGAGGCTGGAACATAGATGGTGACAGACACAGGTGAATGCTTGAGAAACACCTTTGAAAGGATATGAACTAAAGAACCCGGCAGATTACTCTGGGTTCTTTAGTGAGATCAAAAGATATTTTCTCTGTCCTCTACACCTTTTCCATTCTCTCTTGTTTAACTGTCTCTTGTTTCTGCTTGTGCAATCCTGATACTCTTAAGAGTTTATAAGGGTGGGACACCAAGATGAAGTTATCTCAAAGGCAGTCCACCTTGGGCCAGATACAGCAGTAACATGGACAGATAGTGAGCAGAGGAGAATTCAGTTCTGCCTGGCTGGGTAGGGAAAGTCAACAGAAGTATTTACTACAGAGTCAAAGGAGTGGGGTGCAAATTACCATTTTCACCTCTGCACTTCCTGAGAGTGGCACAATGAAGGGGCCTATGATTGTTTATGGCATGTAACTCTTTGGATGAGCTGGAGGTGAGTGAATAGACCAAGAGCCTATTGAGGCTGGGTGTCCAATGGCCTGAGACCCTATACTTGGATCTCAAGGGCAGGAACTGGGTTAAGGCCTAGCCTGGGATACTATACTCCCACTGCTTTGACAGGTGACCTGTGAGCTCTGGCTTGAAATTGCCAGGGTTAGCCCAATGGAATTAACAGTACTCTTTTAGCCATTACTATCCATGCATGATCCTTCCCCTGTGGGCTGACTCTTTCTTCTCCTAAGATCCCTCATCACCCCCTTTCTATTACATCAGTTGTCTCTCTTCATTAAAGACAGCTGATTTAACAACTGTTATCAAAGTGTTTCCTTCCAGAGGTGGGATGAGGATGGGCATTTATTTTCATGTGACTAAGGAAAGTACTGAATCAGTCATGATGTTACAGTACTAAACATCCACTTTCTAACCTGGATGTGTAGCAGAATGAAGAACTAATCACTAGTTTCCACATGGTATCACCCCCCAACAATTAAAAGGAGCCTCTTTACTATTCAAATTAAATTTCTTATTTGGACCAACAGGCTTAAGTTTATAAAAGGTTTCATGAAAAATATAGCAGCTTTAAGTTATAGAAGTTGTTGGGCTTGAGATAAGACATAATGGTTATATGACTTCCTGTTGACTTGGTTCAATTTTGTCTCCACGACATAGGGTACTCTGACTTTGACAGTGCCATATCCAATGAGAAATTTCCCTACCTTCATAATAATACTAGTTCCACTCAGAAGCTGTGGAAACAATTCTATCCCTTAGACAAGGCCTGAAAAATTCTACCTCAGGAAGCTTGTTGCCCTTTGTCAGCTTGAGCAGCAACTTTGCCCACTCATCTGGAATTGTTTAAGAGCCCCAGAGCAATGTTTGCACACCAAGTCAGAAGAAAGAAGAATAAATGCAATGGATCAGGTCAGGTCTTGCCTCTGTGGTCCCTGTGATCAGGTATTACTATGCAAACCTGGGACTGCATTAAGAATATGGTGCATCTGTGTTCCAAGAATGTCCCTTACATTTCCACTGTACTGGAGACCTAGTGAGATGCTTTGAAAATTTCCTGTGTGCCACCGCAGTCATTTAATGAACAAGAGACATAGCCAGAATCAAGTCTACATAACTCTGAAATACCAAAGAAAACCCCAAACTAGAACAGAAGATTCTGAGCAAACACCTGAGCTAAGCTATATTTCATTCTTTCTTAATCCTAGAAGGAAATGTATTTGTCATCAAATCAGTAATATTCTGTTATCAGCCACAAGCTTATATAATTGCTCAAGAAACTCAAAGAAGGCCAGAGAAAATGGAGATGGACTAGGAGGCCAGAGACTAGAAGGAGGGGAAAGGGGGCAGATCTGCTGGAGGTAGGAGGTTAGCCAGCAGCAGATACTTTTCTCCATGGAGGTGTCTGACTAAGTGGGCAGTGTGGGTCTGGGACTTCTGATTTTTTATAGTTGTGAGCCTAGCCTTTAATAGCTGAACTATCCCTCCAGCCCGGGTCTTCTGATTTTTGATGAGGCATGGTATATTTTTATGGGAATCACCTTTCTGAGACTTAGTGAAAATTTTAGAGAATCACTTTCTTAATTACTGTAAGAGGTTCAAAGCTCTGGGCCTTGATCATTGAAGGATGCATACATTTAACACAGAGACTTCTCAGCAGCAATCAAGGAACTCTCACCTACAGAGTTGCCCTCCATCACTATCAGGCATAAGATGGCTAATGGCAGGAAACTGCTGGGGTATACTAGGACAAAAGTAGGATTTTAATATTTATTTATATTTTATGTGTTTGGGTCTTTTGCTTGCATGTATGCCTTTGTATCCAATTCTTGCAGCACTCAAAGAAGCTAGAAGAGGATGTCAGATTCCCGGGAACTGGAGTTATAGGTGGTTATGACCTACCATGTGGGTACTGGCAAATGATCCTCTATCTGCTGCAAGAACAGTCAGTGCTCTTAACTGCCAAGCCATCTCTCCAGTCCCCAAAGTGGGATTTTTAAAGCCAAGCAATTTGGTCTATTCTATGGTGTCCCATAAACAATTCTTTAGTATTGTATTCCCAGGGCCAGGTTTGAATGACACAAAGGATACTAATAAGTTGAAATAGACCACTTATCTAATCCAATCAGTATAGACCACATAAGAAGTTCTTGACATACTACCAGTGGAAAAGCTAAGATGGGAAAAGCTAAGATGGGAGGTAATATGGAAAAGTATGCCAGGCTAACAGAAAATGTTTTCTAGCAGCACAACATCTCTCCTGGGAGTGCTTGACCTCAGAGGCGTGGAAACATTACCAGGCTGTGTTGCTTAATCAAGGCGCAGAAAGCACAGAATTTAAGACTCAGTTTACTACAGTAAGAAACAAAATGTGTCTAAAATTCATGTAAGGATACTGAAGGGTGCTTCAGTAAGAACACCTGCTATAGGGACATCTAATAACCCCAACATACTAGGCTATCCTTTTCAGGTTCTCAGTTTGTTTCATAATTATGTGTAACCCTGCCTAAAGGCAGGACAACATACTTGGTGTATTTCAGATTGGTGCTGTTGACCTGATTTATTAATAGCTACCATTTATATAGCTCTTGAAATGTGCTGGTTACTGTTTAAAACATAATAAAAATAATTTATCTTTACAAGTTCCTCTATTGTCAGTCCTAGTTTAATTCCCATTTTATATATGATAAATCTGAGGCTAGGAAAGTTGTGGGACCTCATGTTCACACAGGTAAGGGGATCCATAGAGCTGGAGCCCACCATAGGTCAGGTGGGCTTCTCACACGAGAGGAACAAGAGGACAAGCATAACTGAGCAAGGTAGACAGAAGACCTGGAGTATAAGTGTCCCCTACCTTCTCATCTTTCATGCCTCCCCCAGTCACTTTAGGGCTGTTAGTATTTTCTAAGGGACAAAATAACTCAGAATAAAATTGAAGGGATTTGCTTGGAAACTAAAATTCAGCTTAATAGAGCTGGCTTTGGGGCAAGAGTGAGTTGGGTAGGACCCCGGGGAAATTCATTGTCTGTTCTTGG